TATATATTAAAAAGTTTTCTATAAAAAATGTAGTAGTTTTTTATTGAACAATTTCATAAATAATACCAAGCACTAAATTTGTAGTGATATACCTTTCATTCAAAAGAATCGTTAAATATTTTCCATTATATTTCCAGCAAATTCCATTTATAGTAAAAACTGCATGGAATGTATGCAATGTTTTCATACGTTAATATATCTTTTTAGCTCTGCCCCCTCACATTTATTCTCACTCTCTCTATAAGTACAAATTGAGCCAAAATATAAATAAAAAAATTGTATCAATAAAATTTTGGTGTCCCATTGATGTCTCCCATCTCGCATTTAATGTCAACATTCAAACGTAATGAACGCACTGAGATATGAATCCCAGATCGAGTATAAAATGAAACAAAAACAAAACCAAAAAAAAACCTGACAAACAAAACAAAATCAGAATTTTCTGGCCAAAGAGCGTTGAACAGAAAACATTCAAATAACGCCAGGTGACATTTACCGTTACAAAACAATAAAAAYAAAATTCCACAACAACAACAAAGGGGCAAAGGAATCTCTCGATGGGGTACGGTCAACAAAGAAAAAAAAAAAGAAATGCCGAGCCGGAGCCTTTATTCCTGAATGCCCAACAGGCGCGCCAGAAATTTGACAGTCGATTGACAATACAGCCTATTGGCAGCAACGGGTTGCACAGTGGCGCAAACTCTATGAAAATTGCATAATAGTGAAGAAGAATGTTTGAATAATTCATATAATTTACTAATTGTTGGGCATATATAGAGTTTAAAATTAAAATAATGCATTTAAATTATATTAAGCTTATGGATTTTTCTTTTGGCTCATTTAAAAAAGTTTGCTCGCCACGGTGCCATGGTCATGGGGTTATGTTTAAAGGAGGGGTAGCGGGTGCCATAAAAGGTCAGTTGAGAGAAAAAATGTTGTCCATTGGGGCTGGGGGATGGGGAATGGGGGGTTTTATGAGGCATCTTTGTGCGGGCGTCATAAATATTTGCACGCTTCGGCATGCTGAAAATAACTTTTTCTTTTCTCATTTTATTTTATACATATAAATATATTTGTTGTTGTTGTTGTTGTTGCTGAATACCCTACGCAACGAAAAAGTTGCCCGCAGTGTGCGGCATATTAAATATTTTATATGTGCACTACACAGTCAGAACAGCTAAAAGCGGGCCGAAGAGCCAGAGAGGAGGGCGGGGAAGAGTAGCCCAGGACCAAAGGACATGGGACGTGCAGCTGGGCTCGCTGTGGGCGGTGAAACTTTTATCGCTGCTCCTGCTCAACCGAAAACGCTTCTGTCTGCTTTCAGATTGGACTTCAGCCGCAATTACACGCACTGCAATGCCTCGCTGCTCGTCAACGACACGTTGGCCATGTCCGGGGATCAGCCGACATGGCTGAAACTGTTGCCGCCGCGACTGCACACGCCCGAGGTCATATTGAACACTTGGCTGCATTTGGGCGGCGCGCCCCAGGCGCCAATTGGCCTCATTATCGAACTGCCGCCAGCTCAAAGCGGCACCGGCTTCACCGGCTGCCTACATACACTGCGCATCAATGGACAGGCTCGCGAAATCTTTGGGTAAGTCATCCTTAATAGACAGGACTGCACACATAGCCGTTGGGCAGCCACTTGGTCATTTGGGGGCGCAAATAATGAGTGAGGCAAGTCAAGGAAAGTTATGAATGTTTATGCCACATACGCGCATCTCAGCCGCCGGCCCAAGCGTGCCACATGCCACCAAGTTGCAGGTAGCCCAGTAAACAAGCTCTGCGGGAATATGCAGTAAAATCATTCGCAGGATGAAATGGGCACCAAGCCGAGTCGGTGCGAGGCAGCGTCTGGGCACAAAACAGTTGCTAAACGTGGGCACATCAAAAGAAATTAGCTAACGATCCTTTCTGCCATTGAAGTTTATGGCGCTACCTTACCAAGCAGAAAAATCATCAAATCCCATTCAAAGAAAGCAAAGTCAGGCAATTAAAACTGAATCTTCGTCATAAAAGAAATTAGAACAATCTGAAACAATATCACGCGATAGTCAACTAATTGGTACTACTTTTTATCGATAAGCAAAGTCGATATTTGAAAGAGTAATGCATTCTATAAACAACGGTCGATAAACGATAGTCGATAAGTACCAGCTAATAGACAGTATTCGAAAAGGCGCATCCGTAACACAACAGTCGAGTAACAGTAATCTAAAAACATAATTTGATAAATGTTAGTCGATACACAGAAATCGATATACATAATTCGATAATAAAGCTGTGATAGTAGATCGGATTTGATAGACAATTGGTAAACTATATTTTATATACAGGATTGATGAACAGGGGTCGATAAAAAGTAATCGATAAACAGATTTCGATAAAAGGCATTTGATAAGCCCAGAAATGTTGTTCACTTCATAAAACACATGGTTAGTGCTACGGCAGTATTTAAGTAAATTAAGACAAATAATCAATAATAGAATCCCGATATGAAATCTATTTTTATGAAATCTATTTATGAGTCGAAAAGGCTGTTTATGACAGTATAATGAAATACAAAGTTAAATAACATGATAATCCATGTTAAAACACTAATAATGCTAGATATATACATGCTAACCAATACTAATATATCCCACCATATACTCGAACCAAGAGGAAAATAACATTTTATNTTGCCATTTTATTTATCTCCATTGTAACCTTTTCGAAGTTTTTATTTACCTCCTCTGTAGTGGTTTGTACAAGGTTTGATGTTGCATTTATGATGGATGTTTGGTTGCTGACATAATCACTTAGCCGCTTTTCGTTTTTGATTATTGTCTGCATGTTTTCTTCCAGTCTGTTTGCAGTGCCAATATCGAAAAACATTATGAACCGTTTCGATCTGTTGGCCGTTTGGGTGATRATTTTATTTTTTTCTCTAATGTTTTTAATTTTTAACATTATTGTACTGCTCACTGTTGTGCAGTATTCGTTGAAATCGCCCAATTTTTCGCAAATGACGTTTGTTTTGCTCATGAGCTCATCTGCTTATTTTAGCACTTCGAAATAAGCTTGCATGTCGTAGTAGAACAGCATTTGCCAGCTTGAAGAGACGACTTCCACTTTTCCAAGCTTATCCATTAGCATTGCCGTTTGTGGATCCATATCTTGAACTTTGAGTTTGGTGGTTATGTTTGTAGCCGGTATGATTGTAGTACTTGCTACCTGCAACACCATTAGCAAACTTAAAATTGTCGCTTTTCCAGTAGGAAACTTTGCTGATCGTGTTTTTCTTCGATCTTTTGGAGAGTCGTCTTGCTTATCCTTTTCATTAGTGGGTAGCAAACAGATCTTATTTACTGATCTTTTGACCTCACCCATGTTTGTTTTTATTGTGACTACTCGGACTCTATCATCTTGTCCTTTAGTAGTCTTTGTAATTTTTCCCATGGGCCATCTAGCGGGGTGCGTGTTCTCTTGTTTTAATAGAACAAGTTGGCCTTCTGTGAGGTTTACATTTGATTGTCGCCATTTGGTTCGCTGTTGCAATGACGCCAAGTATTCCTCTTTCCATTTCCTCCAGAATTCTGCTCTGATTCGTTGCATGTGTCTCCATCTATCCAGAGATCCAATTTTTCGATGCTCGTCAAAGTGTTCTGGAGCTCCAATCAATGGTCGTCCAACAATAAAATGACCGGGTGTCAATATGTCGTCTCCCTCTGTGTCATTATTTAAGGCAACCAGGGGTCGTGAGTTTAGTACTGCTTCAATTTGGCATAGCAGTGTCGAAAACTCCTCAAACGTGAAGCTGTTATCGCCGATGACTCGCTTAAGGTGATGTTTCACTGATTTTATTCCGGCTTCCCATATTCCTCCCATGTGGGGGCTTGCCGGCGGGATGAAGTGCCATTTGATGCCTTCTCGTTCCAGCACTGGTGCGATACTGCTATTTCCTTTTATAGCGGCAACCAGATCCTTGTCCAATATTCTAGCGGCACCTACGAAATTAGTGCCGTTGTCCGAATACAAGTTCTCGCTTTTGCCTCGTCTTGCAAAAAATCGGTGTAGAGCTTCTAAGAACTTATCTGATGATAAGTCACTGACCGCTTCCAGATGTATAGCCTTTGTTGCCATGCATACAAATAGGCATATGTACCCTTTGTATGACTTTTGGCCTCTTCCTTTGGAACATCTGATTTGGAAAGGTCCAGCGTAATCAATACCAGTGTTTTGGAACGGGTAATCGCCTGTTACTCGATATACTGGTAAGTTTCCCATTAACTGACTGGCCATTTGTTGTCTGTACCTGACACAGGTAACGCATTCGCGTAAGTATTTCTTAAGCGTGTTCCGTAAGCCGACAATCCAGAATTCTCTTTGGATAAGGTTTCTCATCAGCTTTAGCCCGCCATGTAGGGTTTCTTTATGTGCGTTGTTTATAATTAGCCAAGAAAGATGTGATTTTCCAACTATAATTGGGTGTTTCACATTATATGGCACCAACGCACTTTGGAGACGGCCTCCCACACGCAAGACTCCATTAGCATCCAGAAACGGGTTGAGCGCTTGTAATTTACTCTTAGCTTCCAGAGGTTTTCCTGCTTTAAGTAAGTTTATTTCTTGTCCAAAATCAAGTTGTTGTTGTAATTTTACGACGAGTGTTTTGGCTTGCTTTAGTTCTTCGACGGTTAGGTATGTCGGCTGATGCTTCTTCCTCCTTGATTTAGCAATAAAGCGTAATATGTAGGCCATCACACTTGTTAACTTGTTTATTGACGAGAACTTTGTTAATAGTGGGCTCAGGTAGTTTTCCTTTGTTATAATGGTTGCTACTATAACAGCTTCTGGTTCTTCAAATTGTGGCCACTGATGTGGTTGTTTTGTCAGCCACTCAGGCCCTTTCCACCATATGTCGCACGCTGCTAAGTGTTCCGGGGCGATTCCTCTTGAGGCGACATCTGCTGGGTTGTCTGCCGATTTCACGTATCTCCATTCGACGTGAGGCAGTTTTTTGTTTATTTCGTCTACTCTGGTTTTGACGAATTTATCTTTGCTACGCTTGTTCTTTATCCAAGCTAGAGTAATTTGTGAATCACTCCATGCTATCGTTTTGCTATGATCTCCTACTATTTCTTGAATTTTTGCTAGTAGTTTGCATAGTATATGAGCTGCACATAGCTCTAATTTGGGAATTGTCTTCTTGTTTTTTATTGGGTTCACTTTGCTTTTCGCGGCTAGCAAAGTGATTTTATCTCCGACTTTTGTATACACCACCGCTGCATAGGCTTTTTCTGATGCGTCACAAAATCCATGTAGCTCCGTTGGATCTGTGCTCGATTTTCCAGACCAGCGTGAACTATAGATCCTGGTTAGCTCTGGCAATGCCCTTGCGTACTCTTGCCAATGATTAACGAGACTAGGTTCCAGTTGTTCGTCCCACGTTAACGGTAGTTTCCACAGCTCTTGTATGAAGCATTTTCCCTGTAGCGTAACTGGTGTAAGCCATCCCAGTGGATCGAAGATTCTTGCCAATTGAGACAAGATTAGGCGTTTGGTAATGCGCTCCAATTTTGGGCAATCAACCACAAACGTGAATACATCCTTTTTGGGATCCCATTGTAGCCCCAGGGTTTTGACTGACTCGTCCTTGTTTATAATTATTTTTTCAGTTGAGTCACCATCTTCAATTCCAGCAATGATTGTGTCCTCATTTGACACCCATTTTCTTAGATGCATGCCTGCCTTTTCCATGATACTCAAGAGTGCTGTTTGAGTATTGATGCAATCCTTTATCGAGTCGCCACCAGTAATGAGGTCATCCATGTAGAAATCTTCTTTTATTGTTCTCATTAGCTGATTGTTTCCTTGGCAGTGTTGGTTTGCTAATTCTTGAAGACAGCGAACAGCTAAGAATGGTGCGGCCGATGTCCCGTATGTCACTGTAGTTAATTTGTATTCCTTTATTGGCATTTTTGGGTCATCTCTCCAGAGGATGTACTGATATTCCTGATCAGCTTTGGTGACCTTAATCTGGCGGTACATTTTCTCGATGTCGGCTGTCATCACATACTTCCATTGTCGCCATTTGATTAAAATATCGAAGATATCCTTTTGTATTTTGGGGCCGACTAGCATCACATCATTTAGGCTTAATCCATTAGTGGTTTTTGCTGAAGCGTCAAACACTACTCTTAACTTAGTAGTAAGGCTGTTTGGTCTGATTACAGCTTGATGTGGCATATAGTATTTGCCTTTGCCAATTGTGTCCACAGGTTCCATGTGACCTAGCTTCAGGTATTGCTCCATGAAGTCCTTGTATTCAGTGAATATATGTGGATGCTTTTTGAATTTCTTCTCCATTTGTATTAGTCGGGCCATAGCTTGCTTGCGCGAGTTCCCTAACTCGTGGTCTTTTTTGAATGGTATGGACACCACTAGCCGGCCTTCTTCATCCCTTGTGGTTGTTTCCTGGAATCTTTTCTCGCAATCATTATTTTCTTCCGAATCGCTTGAGTTACTTTCAAGCTCCCAGAAGCGTTCGAGGTCATCCAGGCATATCGTTGTTGTTGCGCTGATCACCTTGTTGTTTGATGATCTAGCTATGTTGCCAGAAACAATCC